CATTAAAAGATTGCAGAACAATACCCGTATGTCATTAAAAGATTGCAGAACAATACCCGTATGTCATTAAAAGATTGCAGAACAATACCCGTATGTCATTAAAAGATTGCAGAACAATACCCGTACGTCATTAAAAGATTGCAGAACAATACCCGTACGTCATTAAAAGATTGCAGAACAATACCCGTATGTCATTAAAAGATTGCAGAACAATACTTGAATGTCATTAAAAGATTTCAGAACAATACCCGTACGTCATTAAAAGATTGCAGAACAATACCCGTATGCCATTAAAAGATTGCAGAACAATACTAGTAGTTTATTACAAGATTGCAGAACAATACCCGTTTGCCATTAAAAGATTGCAGAACAATAATTGTACGTCATTAAAAGATTGCAGAACAATACCCGTATGTCATGAAAAGATTGCAGAACAATACCCGTATGCCATTAAAAGATTGCAGAACAATACTAGTATTTTATTAAAAGATTGCAGAACAATACCCGAGTGTAATTATATGATTGCAGAACAACACTAGTGTGTCAATGAAAGATTGCAGAACAATACTAGTAGTTTATTACAAGATTGCAGAACAATACCCGTTTGCCATTAAAAGATTGCAGAACAATACTTGTACGTCATTAAAAGATTGCAGAACAATACCCGTATGTCATGAAAAGATTTCAGAACAATACCCGGATGTCATTAAAAGATTGCAGAACAATACTAGTATTTTATTAAAAGATTGCAGAACAATACACGAGTGTAATTATATGCTTGCAGAACAATACTAGTGTGTCAATGAAAGATTGCAGAACAATACTAGTAGTTTATTACAAGATTGCAGAACAATACCCGTTTGCCATTAAAAGATTGCTGAACAATACTAGTATTTTATAATTAGATTGCAGAACAATACCCGAGTGTAATTATATGATTGCAGAACAATACCCGTATGCAGAGCTGTGCAGCGCTACTTTGAAATGTAGCGGCCGCTACCGCTGCCGCTACATGCTCTAAATGTAGCGGGCGCTACCGCTACAATTGCTTAAATGTAGCGCCGCTACCGCTACATGTAGCGCGCTACTGCCCACTATCATAGACAAGAAAATAGAGCGTAAGTACTTACGTTCACTTGATCATAGACAAGAAAATAGAGCGTAAGTACTTACGTTCACTTAGCGGGTTTTGAAAGTATGGCCCCTGCATAGTGAAACCTACGAGTGATGCAATATTTTAATTTTTAATGAACAAAATTCGTAGTGTTTTTAAACATTTATTTTGATGATTGAATTGATATTTACTCCTAATTATTATTAGGATAAATGACATGAATGACTAGTATTGAATTGTAATCGAAGGAATTAATGTATTCAATATGAATAAGATTGTTATGATTAATTCAAAATGAATAAGATTGAGATCGTTTATTCAATTTGAATAAGATTGCAATAATTTAGTCCATATGAACAAGATTGAAATAATCTATTCAATATTAATAAGATTGAAATAATTTATTCAATATGAATAAGATTGAAATAATTTAATCCATATGAATAAGATTGAAATAGTTTAATCCATATGAATTAGATTGAAATAATCTATTCAATATGGATAAGATTGAGATAATTTATTCAATATAAATAAGATTGTAAAAACGCTTTCCGTTTTTGAATTTGGGTTGCCGTAAGTCCGCGTTCAGGTTTTAGGATAACCACGGTTTCAACAACAAATTTCCTTTTTATTGAATGAAAAATTGCATCTGTAGGANCGAGTGAGACAATATTTACTCTTAATTATTATTATGATAAATGACAGAAATAACTAGTATTGATTTGTAATTGAATAAAATAATGTATTCAATATGAATAAGAATGAAATGAAAATGAAATGAATTTTCAATGAGATAATATTGAAATAATTTACTCAATATGAATAAAATTGAAATAATTTATTCGATATGAATAAGACCCAGAGTCTCCTCTAGGTCTTAAGATTAATAAGATTGAAATATTGTATTCAATATGAATAAGATTGAAATAATTTATTCAATATTAATAATATTTACCTGTAGCTCTTGCTCGGTCGCGCGCTGTGCTGCGATCTCCTCCTCGCACGCTAGGATCGCCTGGTGTAGCTCCTCCCGTCGGTCCAGAATATCCTTCAGTCTGCCGTTAAATTAAGATAATAAAGATAAATAAAATAAAATAATCGAGAATAATCGATAAAAAAATAATAATCGATAAAATAATCAAGATGTTTATATTTGGCATTTGTGTTAAAG